TGAAATGCGAGGAAGCAAAAAACACCCAACCGGAAAAGCAAAATGAAAAAAGAACCCAAAAATACGAAGATAGTGTAAGGAGCCTCTGGGACAGCTTCAAACGTGCCAACATCAGAATTATAGGGGTACCAGAAGATGAGAGAGAGCAAGATATTGAAAACCTATTTGAAGAAATAATGACAGAAAACTTCCCCCACCTGGTGAAAGAAATAGACTTACAGGTCCAGGAAGCACAGAGAACCCCAAACAAAATGAATCCAAAGAGGACCACACCAAGACACATCATAATTAAAATGCCAAGAGCAAAAGACAAAGAGAGAATCTTAAAAGCAGCAAGAGAAAGAAACTCAGTTACCTACAAGGGAATACCCATACGACTGTCAGCTGATTTCTCAACAGAAACTTTGCAGGCCAGAAGGGAGTGGCAAGAAATATTCAAAGTGATGAATACCAAGAACCTACAACCAAGACTACTTTATCCAGCAAAGCTATCATTCAGAATTGAAGGTCAGATAAAGAGCTTCACAGATAAGGAAAAGCTAAAGGAGTTCATCACCACCAAACCAGTATTATATGAAATGCTGAAAGGTATCCTTTAAGAAGAGGAAGAAGAAGAAAAAGGTAAAGATACAAATTATGAACAACAAATATGCATCTATCAACAAGTGAATCTAAGAATCAAGTGAATAAATAACCTGATGTACAGAATGAACTGGTGATTATAATAGAATCAGGGACATAGAAAGGGAATGGACTGACTATTCTTGGGGGGAAAAGGGGTGTGGGAGATGCAGGAAGAGACTGGACAAAAATCGTGCACCTATGGATGAGGACAGTGGGTGGGGAGTGAGGGCGGAGGGTGGGGTGGGAACTGGGTGGAGGGGAGTTATGGGGGGGGAAAGAGGAACAAATGTAATAATCTGAACAATAAAGATTTAATAAAAAATAAATAAATAAAAAAATAAAAAGGTCCCAGCAAACAAAACCCCTGGTCAAGACAGATTCACAGGGGAGTTTTACCAAGCCTTCAAAGAACAACCAACACCCATCCTCCTCAAACTATTCCAAAAAATCGAAGAGGAAGGAACACTTCCAAACTCTTTTAGGAGGCCAGCATTATCCTAATTCCAAAACCAGATAAAGACACTACAAAGAAGGAGAATTACTGGCCAATATCCTTGATGAACATAGGTACTAAAATCCTCAACAAAATATTAGCAAATCGAATTCAGCAATATAATAAAAGATCATACACCATGACCAAGTGGGATTTACTCCAGGTATGCAGGCTAGTGCAATATTCTCAAGTCGCATAAAAAAAATTGAAAGACAAAAATCACATGATCCTATCAATAGACACAGAAAAAGCATTCAACAAAATTCAGCATCCATTTTTGATAAAAACTGTCAGCAAAGTAGGAAAAGAAGGATCATACCTCAACATAATAAAGGCCATATATGACAAACCTACAGCCAACATCATACTTAATGGGCAAAAACTAAAACCATTTCCCCAAGAACAGAAATAAGACAGGGATGTCCTCTTTCACCACTCTTATTCAACATAGTACTGAAGTCTTAGCTACAGCAATCGGGCAAGAAGAAAAAATAAAAGGTATCCAAATTGGAAAGAAGGAAGTAAAATTGTCATTATCTGCAGATGACATGATATTGTACATAGAAAACCCTAAGGACTACACAAAACCTTCTAGATTTAGTAAATGAATTTGGCAATGTAGCAGGGTACAAAATTAACACCCAGAAATCTATGGCTTTTTTATACACCAATAATGATCTCTCAGAAAGAAAAACTTAAAAAATAATCCCATTTACTATTAAAACAACAAAATTAGGAAAATTAGAAATAAACTTAACCAAGGAGGTAAAAGACTCAGAAAACTAAAGGACAGGAAAAAAGAGATAGAAAAAGACATAAAGATGTGTTCATGGACTGCTAGAATTAACATAATTAAAATGGCCATACTACCCAACGCAATCTATAGATTCAATGCAATCCCTATTAAAATACCAATAGCATATTTCACAGAGCTAGAACACATACTCCAAAAATTAATATGGAATTAAAAAAGACCCTGAATAGCAGCAGCAATCTTGAGAAAGAAGAACAAAGTTGGAGGGATCACAGTATCAGATATCAAAGCCACTGTAATAAAAACAGCCTGGTCCTGGCACAAGAACAGGCATATATACATCAATGGAATAGAACAGAGAACCCAGAAATCAACTTAAGCCACTATGTTCAATTAATATTTGACAATGGAGGCAAGAGAATACAATGGAGCAAAGATATTCTCTAAATGGTGTTGCGAAAACTGGACAGGTACATGCAAAAAAATGAAACTAAACCACCAAATTACACCATAGACAAGAATAAACTTAAAATGGATAAAATACTTAAATGGAATAAACTCAAAATGGGTATAATACAAAGTCGTGAAACCATCAAATCCTAGACAAAAACATAGGTAAAAAAATGTCAGACATCTCATGTAGCAGAATTTTCACAGATATATTGCCTAGGGGCAAGAGGAACAAAGGAAAAAATAAACAAATGGGACTATATCAAACTAAAAAGCTTCTGCACAGCAAAGGAAACCAGCATCAAAATGAAAAGGGAACCCACTTCATAGGAGAACATATTTGTCAATGATACATAAGGGGTTAATTTCCCAATATATAAAGTACTCATATAACTCAACAAAAGGAAGACAAATAATCCAATTAAAAAGTGGGCAGACGATCTGAATAGACACGTCTCCAAAGAGAACATACAAATGGCCAAGAGACGTATGAAAAAAATGCTCAACGACACTAACCATCAGAGAGATGCAAATTAAAATGACTATGAGGTACCACTTCACACCTGCCAGAATGATTATCATCAATAAATCAACAAAAAACAAAAGCTGGCAAGGAAGTGGAGAAAAAGGAACCCTTGTACACTGAGAATACAGACTGGTACAACCACTATGGAAAACAGTGTGGAGTTTCCTCAAAATATTAAAAATAGCCTGGCCAGTGTTGCTCAGTGGTTGAGTATCGACCTATGAACCAGGATGTCAATGTTTGATTCCAGGTCAGGGCACATGCTGGGGTGTGGGCTCCGTCCCCAGTGCAGGGCAAGAAGGAGGCAGCTGATCAATGATTCTCTCTCATCATTGATGTTTCTATTTCTCTCTCCCTTCCTCTCTGAAATCAATAAAATATATTTTTTTAAAAATTAAAAATAGAACTGCCATTTGACCCAGTGATCCCACTTCTAGGAATATATTCTAAGAAGCCTGAAACACCAATCAGAAAGGAATATATGCACTCCTATGTTCATAGCAGCACAATTTACAATAGCTAAAATCTGGAAACAACCCAAGTGTCCATCAGTAGATGAATGGATAAAAAAACTGTGGTTCATGTGGTACACAATGGAATACTATGCAGCAGTAAAAAAGAAGGATCTCTTACCCTTGAGATAGCATGGAGGGACCTGGAGAGTATTATGCCAAGTGAAATAAGCCAGTCAGAGAAAGACAATTATCACATGATCTCTTATATGTGGAATCTAATGAACAAAATAAACTGACAAACAAAATAGATCCAGAGACATTAAAGTATGCAACAGACTGAAGTATTTCAGAGGGAAGCCGGGAAGTGTAGGGGTGGGGGTAGGGTGTGGGGGAGGGATAGGAAGAGATCAACCAAAGAATTTATATGCATATATGCATAACCCACGGACACAGACAGTAGTGTGGTGAAGCCCTGGGGAGGGGGTGGTAATACTTTCAACAATAAAGATAAAGTACAAAAAATCAAAAGTAGGCTGATAAGAAATCAGTGCCTCACTCTGTGTAATTCTGAGGATGAGCAGAACCTCCTCTTCTCTGAGAGCTTTCAGGTATTGAGCAGACAGGAAAGGGGACAGGGAAGAGAGGTGGATTAACCACACGTTCTTGCTCCTATGGAGAATGGGCCTTTGCCCGTTGGCATAATGGGAGAATGGGAGGGGAGAGATCAAACCTGACAAGTGGAGGGAAGTTGCAAGGACCTACTGGAAAGTCGGAATTAGCGAATGCAATAGGGAACTGGTGGGGCGACTGCAGGAGGTAGAAAAGCTAAGGTTTCTCAGGGCAGCGGGCCTTGGAGGAGCTCTTAGGCAGCTTGGATTGTAAAGGAACTTGGCAGAGTCACTCTTGAGAATAACTGTGAGTAATGGGTTGGCTTCCCCTTTTTGCATTCTTCAAGAGATGCAAATAAGACGGGACTTTGGTTTCGGGAACTTTTGGCTATTGCATAAGGCTTCTCATAATGGGACTCAAGCAATGTAAGATTATACAGCACTTCCTACACTGAACCACTTGCACAAAAACTGAGGCTCAAATAAGCAGATGAACTTTGCCCAAGATGGCTTGGCTAGTAAAGCAGAGGGGGCAGACCCAGTGGACTCTTTGCAACAAGATAACAGACTTTTCAGTCTGCTGATTTAATCGTGAAATTACCTTGACTCCTGTCCCTTTTCCTTAAGCCCCATCCATGAGGCCATCCCACATCTCTGTCCTACTCTGATACCACAGACCAGAATTAGCTCACTGATTCTTTGAAATAATACCAAGACATTTTTATTGTGCAACTCCGTGCTTGTTACATGTTTGTTCACACAGGTGTATGTCTCACACCACCAGCCCCTGAAGGTGGGCTGCAGCCGCGTGATCCTCTCCGTGGAATGCCTCGCTGACATAGAGAGAAGTCAGAGCCAGGTAGTTCCTCATTTCTGTTCCTTTCTCTGGACTTTGCTCCAGATAGATTAGACATAAGATTAGTGAGTGGGGCTCTCAGAGTGGGGCGGGAGGGTGGGGTGTTAAGAAGATGGGGAGGGAAAGAGGAAAAGCTAGCGACCAGCTGATCTCTGCAGGGGGTGGGTGTTGGAGGGGGTGGGTGGTGGCAGACGGTTGGGGAGGGGCATGGGGATTTGTACAGTGCAGGCTAGGTGTTCAGATGATTTTCTGGGACGGAAGGAGCGTGGGACAGGACAGGGCCAGGCCTTTTGGATGGTTGAGGTTACAATGCTGAGAGGGAAGGCTGTCTCTGGGCCATGTCCAAAGTTCTCTGTACCGACTGGGGTGCAGTAATTGTGTGTGTGTGTGTGTGTGTGTGTGTGTGTGTGTGTGTGTGTGTGTGTAAGGAGAGGTTGTGTAACTTCTCAACTGAGCAACAGGGACTGCAGGGGCCATGACTATCCCCGACAGCCCCTAGGCACCTCCAGCTCAGCCACTTGGACCCATTAGTGCTTTAGGGTCACGTACTCCACTCCTTCCTGTCTCAGAGGCCGCTCCCCAAGCCCCAAATGAACCAGCTCCGAGTAATGTATCCCATCGTCTTCTGGAACATCTGGAATCACGTTCTCATAGTCGCCCTGAGAAAGCCACATCATGGTCAGCGTGGCTGACCCACTGTTTTCTCTCCTTGACTCCACAGGGGAGAGGGGGTCAAGAGCCCAAGCAGGAGCACTCTTGTTCAGAACTGGCTGCCGTTGGCATCTCGGAGTGGGAGGTGCTGGCCCTGTGCCTGAGCTGCCTCCCCAGCACCCAGCCTTGACACCGCTGAGACCACCCGAGCCTCCCCACCTGGGGCTCACAGCTGGGGCCAGGTCCTCCACTCCCCACTCCACACCCTGCCCTCTTACCACTTGACGCTTCTGCACCACAGAGTAAGTGACCGTGTTGTCCCTGTTTAGGGAAGGTCTGTGCACCTCTGGGGTCCCTGCATCCCTGAGAGGAAAGGCAGATAGGTGACCACAAATGAAGCATTTCTTATGAATTCTGCCCCTTCTTTTAACTCCCCTAGACCCCAAGAGCACCCCAGCCTCTCAGCCCTTTCTGTGTACGCCTAATGCTCCCAGTAGGAGCTAATTTGTCAAACGAGTGAGTACCACAGCCTTAACCTAGGTCAGTGATGGCGAACCTATGACATGCGTGTCAGAGGTGACACGTAAACTCACTTTTTTGGTTGATTTTTCTTTGTTAAATGGCATTTAAATATATAAAATAAATATAAAAATATAAGTCTTTGTTTTACTATGGTTGCAAATATCAAAAAATTTCTATATGTGACACGGCACCAGAGTTAAGTTAGGGTTTTTCAAAATGCTGACACGCCGAGCTCAAAAGGTTCACCATCACTAACTAGGTGATAGAGACCGACTCTGGGCATACACTCTCCTGGCTTGAAGGAGCAGGTCCAGTTCCTGAGACCATTACTTACCAAAGGGGCTGGGTTGTCATGGAGCTGGAATGAGGAAATGGGAACATGGTGGTGCTTGGCATGGGCTTGGCACAAAGACGGCAGGTGAGACGTGGGCTTTCCCTCCCACAGCCCCCCCAGGGTGCAGATGTCACCCTCCCGGTCCCCTCAGTACCCAATCCTCGGTGTGTCCGTCTCGCCGACAGGAAAGCGCAGCGTCGCATAGCTGATGGAATCTTCCATCACCGGATTGTAGCAGCCCAGGGACTGGGGGTCTTCAGGGAGTGGGGCTCTTCTAATCTGCATGAGGGACAGAGTCTCAGCTCTCACCCCTCCTTTCCCCACCACAGGTCCCTTCCCCCGGAGGCTGACGGCCCAGGCTTCTCCACAGCACTCTTCATCGCCCCCTTCACTTTGCTTGACTTCAAGGTCTGCCTGCACTTCGTCTTTCTTCCATCCTACCTTGTTATTCCTCACAAAGAAGCTCTGCCCACTGGAATTTTCCTGAGGCCCTTGCTGGCTCTGAATCCTCTTCCAGCTAAGAAATAAAGACCCGCTCAGTGAGGAGCAAGGGATGGGGACAGGACCCTGTGGAGTGGGTGAGCTGGGTCCTACAGGACTGAGTAACTGGAGTTACTCCCTGGAATGGGCTGAGGGACAGAGGAGGGAAGGCAGAAGGAAGAGAAAGGGAGGGCAGTGTGAGGAGCTCACCTTCCCTGGAACTTGACTCCCAGGAATGCCAGGAAGAGGATGACCAGGCACAGCCCCAGTCCCAGGGCCACTCGCCGGCTGATGGTCTGTGGGCTATCTGTGGGGAAAGGAGGACCCTCCATTGAGGACATTGTCTCAGTCAGATACCAGCCCACTCTGCCCTGGACATTCGCCTGGAGGGCATCCTGTCCTTTCTCCTGCATGATCTCCACCAGTGAGGACACAGTGCAGACGAACAGAGGGAAGCTAGTCCCTGCCCTCTGGACCTGCCGTTAGGAGGTCCTGTTTGTGACAGGCAGGGGCGCACACGAAGCACGGAAGCCTCATAAATCAGTACCAGTTCTTCCGAGGGCGCTTGGCCTTACGATGAGAACTTCACAAAACTGTCCTGCACCCAGCAACTCCACGTAGGAATTTATCCTGCAACTATCCTTGCAGGGGTGCCCTGAGCAAGAGACTGCACACGCGTGAGAAGGGCACTGAGCAGCATTCACACACCGGAATGCAGCGTGGCCTTCAGGAAAAGAGACAGGTCTCCAGGGGAGGCCGGGGACATGCTTTTAGACAGTGTTGCATTTCAAGGTAACTCGCGCAGGCTATTTCCTTTTAGTGTGCCGTTTTGCAGGCAATAATCCTCTAAATTTAAAAACATCGCTCCAATCATAAATCTGAACAAAGCATAATATGTTTCCAGACACCCGCTGTATGCACTCTCCAAGTGGTGTTATTACATTGAGGGGGGAGCGGGGAGATTCAGGGCAAAGTGTGAGCCCTGCTACCATTTGTGTAAGGAAGGGTGTGTAGACACCGATGGACAGAGGCACACTGTGCACATACAGAATCCTCTGAGGAGACGTAGACCACTGCCAACAGTGAAGGCTTTGAAGAAGAGGACAGAGTTCTCAGGGAGCAAGAAAGGAGAGGTATTTCCACTATGTACCCTTTCATGCTGTTTTAGTCTTTTACCATGTACTTGTATGGTCTTAAAAAAACACTCAAGTTTCAAAAGATAAAAACAAGGGTGAGACAGAGAGAGACAGAGAGAGGGACCCCGTGGGAGCTCAGGATGTCTGGAGGGTGGAAGCAGCCTGCCAGGGAATCCTCCTGGAGAGAGACAGGAGAGACTGGGCGGGAGGAGGGAGCCAGGGAGCTGTGTGCAGCAGGGTGTGCCTTTGAGCACACGGGTTGGGCTGGCCTGGCAGGATAGGGAGGGAGAGGAGAGGGAAGAAGGGGTAGGTGGTCTGGAATTCAGTCTCGGGGCAAAACCACAGGAGTGGCCAGGGCCAGAGAAGAAGAGGGAAGGGGCCTTACAGTAGACAGTGAGGGTGCTAGGGGGCGACCGGTCCACACCCAGTCGGTTGTTCCCCTGGCACCAATAGGCGCCTGAGTGCTGGACCTTCACAGGATCCAATCTCAGCGTCTGATGATCATGGTGGAGGTTCTGGTTATTCCAGTCAAACCAGGTGTAGCGGGAGATGGGAGGGTTGGCATCGCTCTCACACGTCAGGACTGCTTTCTTCCCCTCCATCACACTGTCTTTAGGGCTAATGGACACCCGTAGCCTCCTAGGTGCATCTGTACAAAAAAGCGAAATCAGGATCCAGGTGGCCAGTTACCTGCCCTTCTCTGCTCTTAGGTCCAGGCCCAGCCACTCACACAGCACTGAGAGCACCCAGGCCTCGGATGTGCTCTGTCCTATGGAGTTGCGGACCACGCAGCTGTAACTTCCAGCGTCTTCTGGGGAGATGGAGCCAAAGCTCAGTTCTCTTCCTTCCTTCAGAAAGATCCCATTCTTCTTCCAGAAGAAGTGGACGTCTGTGGGACGGCTGCTAGAGAAGTTACATCGGAGGAGGACTGCGTGTCCGGAGTGAATCTCAGAACGGGGGCCAATGCACAGGACCTTGACATCTCTGGGGGCATCTGGAGGGCAAGGGCCTCGGTCTGACTTCTTGGGTCCCATTTTCTCCTCCTGCCCCAGGAGTTCCGCTCCCCTTGGTGCTGAGGCCTGACTCTTACCCCCTCAATTCTCTGTAAAGACTCTCGTCCAGGCTTCTGCCTCTTTGCCCTAGAGCCCCATCTCCCACCCAAGCCACCTCCCAGATGGCCCTGCCCAGGTCACTCACACTGGACCTGCAGGCTGACAGGTTGAGCCCACGAACACCACAGGTTACAGGCTGCACAGGTGAATGGCATGGCATTCCAGGCAACTTTTTGAATCATTAGCACCCCAGGTACTAGCTCTTTCCAGGAGCCGGGGGGACTCCATTCATATCTGGTAACGCTGGGGTTACTAGAATTATAGTTACAGAACAGGGTCACATTGTCTCCTTCTCGAATTGGTGTGGGATTTTGAATCACCATGGTTACCTCCTTGGGGGAATCTGGGAGGAAGTGAGAGAAATGGGTGAAGAAAAGTCAGTGGGTCGTAATACCTATTCCTTCCAGCATTCACATAGTTCCTAAACTAACCACAGGAAGGCTCCTGCTTCCTTCCTGCATCTGTGTTAGGACAGAAACCCTCCCCTTCTTGTCTGGCCTGGCTGTGGTTAGAGGCAGGATGGAGCAGCGGTTAGGAGCACAGCTCTGACAGAGAACATGTGGTACTGTTTGTGGGTCTTTGCAAGGGTCTTGCACACACAGCTGGGTGGCTGCAGCATGAGTGTTAGTAAAAATGACAACAACATTGCCCTGACAGGTTTGGCTCAGTGGATAGAGCGTCGGCCTGCGGAGTCAGGGTCCCAGGTTCCCAGGGGGGTGGGTGCAGGAGGCACCTGATCGATGTTTCTCTCTCATCGATGTTTCTAACTCTCTATCCCTCTCCCTTCCTCTCTGTAAAAAATCAATAAAATATTTTAAAAAAAGAAAAAAATGACAACAACAATAAAAATAATAATAATAAGCACAGCTCTGAAGCCAGGCTGCTGGGCCCTACCACTTAGAACTGTGTGACCATGGACTGCAAGACTCAGTTTACTTATCTGTCAAGTGAGGTCCTAAGAATATCTAACCTCATGGGATTGTTGCCAGGACAAAATAAGATGATGTCCTTAAAGCAGTGTGGTGTGTAGTAAACACTTAATAAGCATTGGTGCCACTGCTGCTATCACATATCAGGAGATATATCTAGATGTTCAAGATCTGGGCATTCCCATCAGCGTATTTGGTCCAGATGATTATGTTCCAAGGTCCAAGGATGAAAACTATGGATTCTCTTTGTCCTGGGCTTGACTCAGTGACAAGATTCACTGGGTTAAACAAGGTCTGATGATGGAGAGGTAATGACACGTTTTGCCTCAGTTCTCCTTGAACACTTCAGAACCCCTTCTGGGACACAGCCACTGCTTAGTGAGGCCAAGTCTCTGTGTCCCTCAAGGGGCCCTGGCATCGAGCAGTTTATTCGTTCAACAAACATCTACTAAGCACCTACCACCAGCCAGACCCTGTTCTGGTGCTGAGAATACAGCTGTGAACAACAGCAGAACACCCAAGGAGCTTACATGTCAGGAGGCCCTGGCTTCTGCTTGCTGTCCACCCCAAGACCCAGGAATGCCCTGCACTCATCTGCTTCCTCCTCCACCCACATCCCTCTTCTCCCTCTAGGACCCAAAGGCTCTGACTACTCACATTGGACATCCAACTCAGCATTCTGGTCAGCGTGTCCACGACCAATACTGTTTTGTGCCACGCAGTAATAATTCCCAGCGTGCCTGAGGCGGACCTGTGGGATCTCGAAGGTCTCATCTGTCCCTCTCCACACTTCATTGTTATTGTGATACCAGGTATAATTGGTTGGAGGAGGATTGGCCTGTGATATACAAATCAGCTTTACACTAGTTCCCTCCTTAGCTGGTGAGGAGAAGATCTGAACCCTGGAAGGTTCTGGAGCATCTGGAAAAAGGAGCAGAGGCAAGTGGGGGAGTTGAGCAGAGGCCTCTGCTGCTGACCTCTTAAGGGCCTTGGTTCCACCCCACTAACTCCCTGCCTGCCCTTCCACAGCTCCCAGGAGGCTCACAGTGCACTTGGAGGACCACTTCTGATGTTGCTGAGCCCACATCATTGCGGGCCTCGCAGTGATACTTTCCACTCATCTGTTTGGTCACTTTAGGCAGAGTTAGCTTGAGAATCTTCTGCCCCCTCTGCAATGTCTCCTGCTCTGTCACGGGGATTCCATCCTTGAGCCAGGAAAGAGTCTGGTACTCTGGGTAGCTGCTGATGACCTGGCACGTCATGGTCACAGGTTTATTCTCTGTTACACTGGCTTCTTTGGGACTGACCTCCAACTTTGGGGAGTCTGGAGTAGCAGAGGAACAGTGAGGGAGGAAACAGGGAATTCTTAGAGAGTGTAAAGCAGTGAGAAGTTGTATAGCCACTTCTTCTGATAAAGCAGTGGCCTGTGTATAGTGTGTGGGGTGTGCAGCATTGTCAACAAACATGGGCTGGCAACCATCACAGCCTCCTAACTCCTGTCTCTGCTCCTCCCACTCCCAGTCCCTGCAGGTCTGGTCTCCCCAGCAGCCAGCAGCATTCCTAATACTGTCAATCAGACCTTGTCACTCCCTTGCTTGAAACCATTCAGTGGAGTCTAAAACCTGACTGCTGCCTACAAGCTCAAGTGCCCTGGTCCCTCTCGACCATCCTTTCCTACACTGGGCCCCTCAGACATAGGCTGGGGCTCTGTGGCCCCTTGTTTGTCACAGATACACTACGTTCCTACTTCAAAAATTTCTCCTCATTCTTTCCTCTTCCTGGAATCTTCTCAAAAATATCTGCCTGCCTCAGTCCCTCCCTTCACTCAAACCTCAGCACAAGTTCACCTGCGTCACAGAAGTCTCCCTCTTTCCAAGCCCTGCTTTAGTTTTTCCTAATACACTTAGCACTACCTACTGTTATGAACTCTATTTCCTTGTTGATCTTTTTTTGCTTGTCTTTCCCACTGCAATGCTAGCTCCACACGGGCAAGAATTTTGCTCACTGCTGTCTCCCCAGCAGCCATAATAAGGCCTTGCACCTAGTAGGTTTGCAACAAATATCTATTGAACGAATGAATGAATGAATGGAAAAAAAAATCCCTCCCCTCTCTCCAAAGAACAATAAAACCTAACCAGATGATCCCAAAATCATGTCATGGCTGGAGGATAGATTAAAATATTTTATTCTGACCAGGGATGGGAAACATCCTGCTCACAGGCTGTATAAGGCCCATGAAATCATTTGGTCTGGCCCTGCCAAGGCATTAGGGGTGTGGTAATTAAATGTTTGACCAAATATAGCAGCTAATTTTTAAGTTGATAATTTTTTATGGCCCACAAATGATGTTATAAATATCCAAATGGCCCTCGGCAGAAAAAATGGTTCCCTACTCTTATAAGCAGATGCTGAAATGAGTCAGTTTCCAGATATATCAGGGCTGACCACAGGGATGGTGGAGGAGGGAACCCAGCTCAGTTGGACCACTCCCGGCTCTGGGGCCCACAGACTGATTGTGCTTCCTTCCATGGAGGCTCATGCTACCCTGGGTGCTCACTGAAGGGCTGAGAGGAGAGGACAATTTCCTCGTCCTTCCCATAGGAGCATTGGAGAGACTCACGCTTCACATCTAGCTGCACCGTTTCCTGAGAGAGCGGCCCATCTGCTGTGTCATTCCAGACCTGGCAGGTCAGATTCTTGCCATGGTCAGTCCACTGCGGCCACAATGTGAGCTGGCTCTGGGTGAAGATAGTCTTGGTGGTCAGGGAAGTCAAGGGGACAGAGGGATGTTGAGGTGACCCTCCCAGGAACCACCGCAACTCGACCTGGTACTCAAAGCAGGCAAAATTCAGCATGCAGGTCAGAGTGACTTCTCGGGACTCCCAGATTTCTGGAGGGAGCTCAATGCGAGGTGGAGGAGCCGTCTCTGCAAAAGAGTAGAGACCATGCTGGCAGCCTGGAAAACAGGACTGCTGCGTACCAGCCCTCACACCTGGCTTTAGATGCTTTGGCCCAAATAACCTTTCGGGATCCCCTTACTAGTCCACCCACCTCTCTCCAGGCCTGCCTTTCTCTGCTTTGAATCACTTTTGCTCAGTGAAAGCATCCTCTGAAAGGTCTTGCAAGTGCTGAACCTCCTTAGAATTACACGTCATATTTTGTGCTTATTTTATTCTACTCCCAAATGTTTGCTTTCTAAATGTTTTCAAAAAATAAAAAAATAAATGTTTTCAAGATCGTTCTCCCATCACCCCTAAATGAATTTTGCCAGTTTAGCTTAACATGCATTTCTTAGTTTTGACAACAAGCCTGCACTGTCTAATGGCCTCGCTATTGGAGGCACAACTAACAGCACTCCTTCCGGAGGCTCCTCTGGTGGAGCAGGACGGTGGACAGTCAATCCTGGCTCTCCCGGGGCTGGGCTACCCTCAAACTGCAGGGTCTGAAGCTACATCTCTTACTCCAAACATAGGGCTGCCTAGTCCCCCCACCAAGACAGGCTATAAAATGGAGTGAGCACATGCCCCAGGGGAAGGCCTCAGATCTGTGTTTTATCTGCCCCTACACATGTCATTTATCTATGAAGGGCCAGTTAGAATTAATCACCGATATTAACACATTGCAAGATTTTACTTAAAAATCTAGAGTTTTCCCTTGAAAAATCAGGTCACCTGGCATCCAGACTGCAGGATGGGCAGAAGCTGGGTGGCAAGTGGGTGCTTGAGGAGGAACAAGAGCGCATGCTCCAATTTGGCCACAGCCCCATTGTCTTGTGCTGCTGAGTCACTCATGGCACCCCCTGCCTGGCCTCTGTAGGCCACCTGGTTTTCAGGCCCTGTCCCAGGAGTCGGTGTTTCCCACTTCCCTCCTACCCTTGCCTGAGGTAGAGGACACCATGCCCAGGGCCTTACTGGAGATGTTGAGGACTATTTCCTCCATCCACTTTCCACTCTTTGATGTCATCCCCATCCTCTTTTCATTCTTTGACGTCATCCTCAGCCCCAGCTGACCGCTGTCTTGGGCTTTTACAGGGTGGATGCGAAGGGTGCAGTTGGATTTGTTGTCTCCCAGGAATTTCACTCTTCCCTGTGACTTTGTCTTCTCATAGAGGATTGTCCCACTGTAGTCCATAGTCTTGCTGTCAAACACATAATTCTGGTACACAGTCAGGTTTTCCAGGACCATTCCATCCTCTGGCATTGTGTAGCGGCAGGGAATCCAGACACAGGCTCCCTCCCAGGCATAGAGGGTGGCCGGGTGCGCAAAGTTCCATGTGCTTGAGTTAGAAAAAGCCAAGTATTCTGAAACCCACCACAATGATCAGAAAGCATTATTGAGGGACATGGAGAACTTTCAAAGGAGTAAAGAATCCCCTCTGAAGAGAGAGGGAGACACACACACACACACACACACACACACACACAGCAAGACACAAAGCCTACCCCACATTTACTCTTCTCTACCCCAGATCTTTCCTCCTCCTCCAGCTCCACAGTCACCCCAGACCCAAGCACCAGCCCAGACCACAATCCTTACCGAGGAGCAGGAACAAGGGGCAAGGAGAGGCATGGTGTTGGGTCTAGCAGGGAGCCTGGGGCAGA